CTGATCACGTGATGTGGTAAAAGGCCGATCCCAGCGGCCTTTTACCACGTGATCAGCGGTGTCCAATGACACGCTGATCACAGGGAAATGCAAGTGCCGGTTTCGGCTGCGCTTTCCTCCTCACGCTGTCAGATCGTGAGGAAAGTACTGCCGAGAACCGGCAGTTGTCACAGCGGGGATCGGCACCGATCATCAGGGCACTGATGATCAGTGCCCTGATGATCGGTGCCCAGCAGTGCCACCCGCAAGTTCCGCCCACCTGTGCCCAGCAGTGCGCCCACTAGCTCCGCCCACCTGTGCCCAGCAGATCACCCACCTGTGCCCAGCAGTGCACCCACCTGTGCCACTCTGCAGTGTCACACACCTGTGCCCAGAAGTGCCACCTACCTGTGCCCAGAAGTGCCACCCACCTGTGCCCACCCACCTGTGCCCACCAGTGCCACCCACCTGTGCCCACCCACCTGTGCCCACCCACCAGTGCTGCCCACCAGTGCCACCCACCAGTGCAGCCCAGCAGTGCTGCCAGTCAGTGCCACCAGTCAGTGCCCAGGGGTTGTGCCAGTCAGTGCCGCCAGTCAGTGCCCAGCAGTGATGCCAGTCAGTGCCGTCTATCAGTACCCATCATCAGTGTCACCTATCAGTGCCGCCTATCAGTGCTGCATATTAGTGCCGCCTATCCGTGACACCTCATTAGTGCTGTCTATCAGTGCCGCCTATCCGTGCCACCTCATTAGTACTGCCTATCAGTGCCCTTTAGTGCTGCCTATCAGTGCCCATCAGTGCCGCCTATCAGTGCCCATCAGTGCTGCCTCATCAACGCACATCAGTGAAGGAGAACAAATACCTGTTTGAAAAATTTTATAATAGAAACAAAGAAACTTTTTTTTTTTTTTTTCAAACTTTTTTTTTGCAATTTTTTTATTTATATAGCGCAAAAAGTAAAGTGCCCAGTGGCGATTAAATACCACCAAAAGAAAGCTCTATTTGTGAGAAAAAAATTATCAAAATTTCATATGGGTACAATGTTGCATGACCGCGCAATTGTCAATCAAAGTGCGGCAGCGCTGAAAGCTGAAAATTGGCCTGGTAAATAAGGGGGTATAAGTGCCTGGTAGGCAAGTGGTTAAGGAGTACCCTGATGGGCACATTTAATGATAAAGGGTAATGCTGATGGGCACATTTAATGGTAAGAAGCACTCTGATGGGCACAACATAAAATGTGCCCATCAGGGTGCCCCTTAGCAAATAAATATGCCCATCAGAGTGGCCCTTAGCATAAAATATGCCCATCAGAGTGCCCCTTAATATAAATGTGCCCATCAGAGTACCCCCTAATATATATTTGCCCATCAGAGTGCCCCTTTCCACAGAATGTGCCCCCTTAACATAATATGTGCCCATCAGAGTGCCCCCTTAACATAAAATGTGCCCATCGGAGTTCCCCTTAACATAAAATGTGCCCATCAGCATGCTGCTTATTTTATATTAAGGGACACTCTGATGGGCACATTTTATGTTAAGGGGCACTCTGATGGGCACATGTGATGTAAGGGGCACTCTGATGGGCAAATATGATAGAAAGGGGTACTTTGAGGGTAAGGGGGCACTCTAACGGGAATAACTGATGTAAGGTGGCACTGTGATGGCGACAACTGATGTAAAGGAGCACTCTGATAGGCACACCTGATGTGATGGGCATACATGATGTAAAGTTGCACTCTGATGGCGACACCTAATGTAAGGGGGCACACTGATGGGCACACCCTGAGTAAGGTGTCACCATTATGGGGGAACCTTATATAATGGGGTACTCTAATGGGGACACCTAATGTAAGGGGGCACACTGATGGGCATACCCTATGTAAGGTGTCACCATTATGGGGGAACCTTATATAATGGGGCACTCTAATGGGGACAACTGATGTAAGGGGACACACTGATGGGAGACACCAAATGTAAGGGGGCCTTTTGATGCAGAAACCTGATGTAAGGGAGTAATATGATGGGAATGCCTGATGTAAGGGGGCACTCTGATGGGACTGTCCAATGTAAGGGGGCACTCTGATGGGAATGCCTGATGTAAGGGGGCACTCTGATGGGGACGCCTGATATAAGGGGACACTCTGATTTATGGGGGAAGTCTGATGGTGGCACCCAATATAATAAATTACTCTGGAGGGGGAACCTGATGTAGGGGGGAATGCTAATGGAGACATTTATTTTTGGACCTCGGCCAGAAGATTTTAGTGATCGGACCTCCTTGAATATTAATTCAATACTCCTGCGATACAAGATAATTACCTTTCTCTCATTTTACCATGAACTTTCTCAAACTGACTAGCGAGCGTGGGAGGGTTTGCTTTCACTATTAGCATTTAAGCAATACCACTGTTGTAATACAAAAATAGTATCATCTGCTTCCCTTTATCTTAAACGAGTCTTAGAAAGTATCTCACCAAAAAGAAAACTTTATTGAAAAGGGGTGTCTCTGATTTGAATTCCAGCTGTGTGCTGACTGCTTGGAAAATCAGGGGGCAATTAAACCAGCCGGAAATGGTATTTCTGTGGGCGTTATACAAAAACAGCATCAATGGAATCTTTTACCAGAGTGCATACTAATTTAAAGTTACACTAAACTCGGGTTTTAAAAATCTATTCAACCATGTATTCTTAACTCAGAAAAGTACCTTCATTTGCACTCAGCTGCTTCCAAATCTCTAAATTCCTTTATTTTGTTGCTGTGATCAGGGTGGCCATGTTCATTACAGGGCTATTAAGTAGAGAATGCGTATAGATTAACGTATAACTAAAATAAAAACTAGATAGAATAGAACACCTAATAGGTTTCTATTTTGGTCTGTGCCCCAGTTAGCGAGATTCCCTCTCTCTGTTCTGTTTACCATTCTCATCGAAAGTGAAAGTAAAAAAAAAATAAAATTTTGGGCTGTCCTAAGAAAAGTAATACAGGGGAGATTTTTCAATGGGAACACTAGTTCTGATGACCTAGGGGTCCCCAACAAATTTTCTTAACCTCCCTAGTGGTCTGATTATATCAGTAATATACAAAATCTACTTGCGCTCTTATGTTAAATGATCAATAAATAAGCACATATAGCTGCTAACATCTGATCCTGTACCAATAGATCTGATGAAGTGTAAAAAATGAAGCAAAAAATGAATAAATAAATACTCTGTTAATGAATCATATTAAGCACATGGTCAGTATAACAAAGTAACACACTCCTTAACATGTAAAAGGAAAAATAGTGCGTGATGGAACTAGATAAGTGAGATCTAAAACACATGTGAAACCCCTGCACACAGTGCACATATCAAAAAGTCCAGTGATCCGTATCACATTCCTTCCGCTCATGCAAAATCAATGGACTGTGTATGGTCCCACACACCCCGAAGTGCAATCCAAAACCGGCTGAAATGGCCTCTCACCTCCTATCTGCGACCCTGCAGGGCCACAGAGCATGTAATATCACCACTGGATCAAGATAACCTTCCTCTTGGATAGATGACTTGAAGATATAGATGAATCAGAGTGACTTGCGAGCCACAGGTGTGATAATTACTAGAGGATCGCAAACATGAAACACATAACTACAACTGTGTTGGAAATATCTACAAATATATGTTGCGCTCCTAAATACTTCTCAATAAATAATAATTCAATTATTACCATTAAATTAATTCAAATTATGATACAAATAACTAATAAAAGTGTATAAATACCAAAAAATATTTAAATAGATAATTTCAACTAATCAATCTCCTCCAAATAAATATCAAAATAATTCCACATAAAATACTCCTCTAAAAAAATATTTTACCAAGTGCTCATAAATCATCTATTAGTGACATGATGTACTTACTAATACCCTCAATTTCATTTATATTCATAATACCCTCATTTAATATAATAAAAATAATAAACCAACTAATAACACTCAACTAAAACGCATTTAAATGATCCTCCATAAATAAAAATAACCAAATGCTCATAAGTAATTAGTAGTGATTAGTATGAATCCAAATATCATCAAAATAATAGTCCCATTGAATAAACAATTGTTTATATATAGTGACTTGGTGCTTGTTGTTCTTCAATTTGTGACTTTTGTGAATCCTTCAAATAGTGAAGATGTGCGCTCACCTCCTTTGATGCCTGCAATTAGGCTATACACGCTTTCGGTTCACTTTCCCTGGAACCTGCTAGACATATACTTTTGCTGGTAAAATTGGGAGATCCTTCCTTTAGGAGTAATGGATGTATCCTCTGGTGGCTGATTATCCCCTCAGGGATTTCACACTCCTTTTGTTATCTCAGACCTCCTAATTATCCTCTCCTTGTGTTACTCCGCATGCAGGAAGAAATAGAGGACATAGTGCTTTACCTTTTAAAACTTTTTATTTCCACCATCCAAGTATTAAACTCACATTAGACAGGTTTAAATAACGCAATATCCCATTGGAAATCCTCTGCTGGCCTCTCTGTATTCTACAAACAAACAAGGGGTGTAGCAATGGGGGCAAAATTCGCTCCCAGTGTGGCCAACTTGTTTATGGCCCACTGGGAGGAGGAGGCGGTATACCATCAACCCCCACAACAACTAGTTCTGTACAAGAGATACATCGATGATGTGTTCATTGTCTGAGACAGCGGTACAGAACAAGACTTACTGTCGTTCCTCAACCAGCTGAATATCAATAAGAGGAATATTACTTTCTCATGGAGGTTAATCGGTCATCTATTAATTTTTTGGACCTATGTGTGTATGTACATGAGGGGAATGTTTGTGCAAGAACCTTCTTTAAGAAAGTAGATCGCAATGGGTGTCAGGAATGGACTGGCCAGCTATGGTGGGACTCACCTGCCTTTTGATCTGCAGTACCAGGGCTGGCCAGCGGGTGTTCCCAGCAATCAGAGACTCAACTTTGCAGCCAGCTAACACCTGTAACTGATTATGCTGGGGTATTTAAGGGATGGCCAGACCCACAGACTCTGCCTTGGTGTGTGTTTGTCCTGGCCCTGTATCCTGCTTCTGTCCTGCATCCTGTTTCTGTCCTGCATCCTGTTTCTGAACCGCTGCTGACTTCTCCTGCTCTGATCCCGGCTCGCTCCTGATGCCTGGTGACCCAGTGCCCGCTGTCATACCTGGTGACCCGATGCCCGCTGTCGAGCCAGACAATCCGATACCTGATGACCCGGTGCCCACTGTCGTGCCTGTTGACTCGGAGCCCACTGTCTTGCCAGACGACTCGGTGCCCGCTGTTCCGCCAGTCGACTCGGTGCCCGCAGTCTTGCCAGACGACTCGGTGCCCGCAGTCTTGCCAGACGACTCGGTGCCCGCAGTCTTGCCAGACGACTCGGTGCCCGCAGTCTTGCCAGACGACTCGGTGCCTGCTGTTCTGCCAGTTGACTCGGTGCCCGCAGTCTTGCCAGACGACTCGGTGCCCGCAGTCTTGCCAGACGACTCAGTGCCCGCTGTTCCGCCAGTTGACTCGATGCCCGCAGTCTTGCCAGTTGACTCGATGCCCGCAGTCTTGCCAGACGACTCGGTGCCCGCAGTCTTGCCAGACGACTCGGTGCCCGCAGTCTTGCAGACGACTCGGTGCCCGCTGTTCCGCCAGACGACTCGGTGCCCGCAGTCTTGCCAGACGACTCGGTGCCCGCAGTCTTGCCAGACGACTCGGTGCCCGCAGTCTTGCCAGACGATTCGGTGCCCGCTGTTCCGCCAGTTGACTCGGTGCCCGCAGTCTTGCCAGACGACTCGGTGCCCGCTGTTCCGCCAGTCGACTCGGTGCCCGCAGTCTTGCCAGACGACTCGGTGCCCGCAGTCTTGCCAGACGACTCGGTGCCCGCAGTCTTGCCAGACGACTCGGTGCCCGCAGTCTTGCCAGACGACTCGGTGCCCGCAGTCTTGCCAGACGATTCGGTGCCCGCTGTTCCGCAGTTGACTCGATGCCCGCAGTCTTGCCAGACGACTCGGTGCCCGCAGTCTTGCCAGACGACTCGGTGCCCGCAGTCTTGCCAGACGACTCGGTGCCCGCAGTCTTGCCAGACGACTCAGTGCCCGCAGTCTTGCCAGACGACTCGGTGCCCGCTGTTCCGCCAGTTGACTCGATGCCCGCTGTTCCGCCAGTTGACTCGGTGCCCGCAGTCTTGCCAGACGACTCGGTGCCCACTGTCGTGCCTGGTGACTCGGTGCCGCCGCTTCGTCTGGGGGCCCGAGACCTGTTGCTCCGCCTGAGGGCCCGAGACCTGTCGCTCCATCTGGGGGTCCGGCGCCCGCCGCTCCGCCTGAGGGCCCGAGACCTGTAGCTCCGCCTGGGGGTCCAGCGCCTGCCGCTCCGCCTGGGGGCCCGATGCCTGTCGCCCCACCTGGGGGCCCGATGCCTGTCGCCCCGCCTGGGGGCCCGATGCCTGTCACCCCGCCTGGGGGTCCGATGCCTGTCGCCCCGCCTGGGGGTCCGATGCCTGTCGCTCCGCCTGAGGGCCCGAGACCTGTCGCTCCGCCTGGGGGTCCGGCGCCCGCCGCTCCGCCTGGGGGTCCGAGGCCTGTCGCCCCGCCTGGGGGTCCGATGCCTGTCGCCCCGCCTGGGGGTCCGATGCCTGTCGCCCCGCCTGTGGGTCCGATGCCTGTCGCCCCGCCTGGGGGTCCGATGCCTGTCGCCCCGCCTGGGGGTCCGATGCCTGTCGCTCCGCCTGAGGGCCCGAGACCTGTCGCTCCTTCTGGGGGTCCGGCGCCCGCCGCTCCGCCTGAGGGCCCGAGACCTGTAGTTCCGCCTGGGGGTCCGGCGCCCGCTGCTCCACCTGGGGGCCCGAGGCCTGTCGCCCCGCCGGGGGCCCGGTGCCTGTCGCCCCGCCCGGGGGCCCGGTGCCTGTCGCCCCGCCCGGGGGCCCGGTGCCTGTCGCTCCGCCTGGTGGCCCGCTGCCTGCTGCTTCGCCTGGTAGCCCGATGTGCCTCTGCCCGGGGTCCTGCCCGATGTGCCTCTGCCCGGGGTCCTGCCCGATGTGCCTCTGCCCGGGGTCCTGCCCGATGTGCCTCTGCCCGGGGTCCTGCCCGATGTGCCTCTGCCCGGAGTCCTGCCCGATGTGCCTCTGCCCGGAGTCCTGCCCGATGTGCCTCTGCCCGGAGTCCTGCCCGATGTGCCTCTGCCCGGAGTCCTGCCCGATGTGCCTCTGCCCGGAGTCCGGCCCGATGTGCCTCTGCCCGGAGTCCGGCCCGATGTGCCTCTGCCCGGAGTCCAGCCCGATGTGCCTCTGCCCAATGTGCCTCTGTCCGGAGTCCAGCCCGATGTGCCTCTGCCCGGAGTCCAGCCCGGTGTGCCTCTGCCCGGTGTGCCTCTGCCCGGAGTCCAGCCCGATGTGCCTCTGCCCGGAGTCCAGCCCGATGTGCCTCTGCCCGGAGTCCAGCCCGATGTGCCTCTGCCCGGTGTACCGCTGCCTGGAGTCCTGCCCGGTGTGCCAGTCTTTGATATCCCGCCAGTTACCAGACCCGGGCGGTGGAACATTTTTCCCAGCTAGGACTGTTTGGAGCGTCCTGAGGCCGCTCCTTGAGGGGGGGGTACTGTCAGGAATGGACTGGCCATCTATGGTGGGACTCACCTGCCTTTTGATCTGCAGTACCAGGGCTGGCCAGCGGGTGTTCCCAGCAATCAGAGACTCAACTTTGCAGCCAGCTAACACCTGTAACTGATTATGCTGGGGTATTTAAGGGATGGCCAGACCCACAGACTCTGCCTTGGTGTGTGTTTGTCCTGGGCCCTGTATCCTGTTTCTGTCCTGCATCCTGTTTCTGTCCTGCATCCTGTTTCTGAACCGCTGCTGACTTCTCCTGCTCTGATCCCGGCTCGCTCCTGACCATCCCTCTGTCTGACCCTCTGTACCACGCTGCTTGCTACCTGTTCTGATCCCTGGCTTGTGACCCTGACCAATCTCCGCTTGCTCCCCCTGTACCTACCTGCCCTATTGATATTGACCCGGCCTGCCTGACGACGCTTGCTTGTATGTACTGTTATCTGTGGGTGGTTTGGTTTGGTTTGTTTGCACTGTATTATGTTTTAGTATTGCACTGCGTTTATGTTTGTATTGTTAGTGTTAATAAATTATATTGTTTATAACATATCTGAGGTCTGCGTTTCCCTGCGTCAGTCACACATCTCTGGTCACACCTGGGAGCCCTGACAATGGGTATATCCCATTGGATAGTTGCCATTATCCTCCATGGCTTCTGAATATTCCAAAAGGTCAGCTGGTCAGACTAAGGAGGAACTGTACAGAAAAAGAAGAGTTCTTTAAGCAGGCTACAATTATGGAAAAGAGGTTTGTAGATAAAGGATATAAAAAAGAGGTTATTAAAAGCAAAATCAGGAAAGTAGGAGATATGGACAGAAATTGCCTTCTGGTAGATAAGAATAAAACTATAGAATTTGATAACCAATTGGCAATTATCCTAGATTTTACAGTCAATTATAAAAAATAGAAAAAGTTTTCAAAAAACACTGGCCGATTCTGCTTACGGATCCTTTACTTTGTAAACTATTACCACCAATTCCTAAATTCATATATAGGAAAGCCCCTACATTAAGATCTACTTTAGTACATAATGTTCTAGATCCACCAAATAAGAAGACAATTACATTTCTAGATCAAAAGGGATTTTTTCCTTGTAAGACGTGTTACGCTTGTAAAGCCATTAAAGGCCCTAACCCTAGACGACATTCGTTTATCTCCACAAGTAATCATAGAGAATTTCAAATCAAGGATTTTATATCCTGTAGGACGGAGGGGGTAGTATATGCATTACAATGCGGTTGTGGCTTCCAATATGTTGGACGGACGAAAAGGCCATTATGGGTTAGACTGAGAGAACACGTCCAGAATATTCGTAAGGGCTTTCCAAAGCACAGTGTTTCTAAACACTTTCTGCAATGTCATAATAAAGATCCCTCAAGTCTTGTGTTTTGGGGAATTGAAAAGTAACATAGGCATTGGAGGGGAAGTCATAAGATCAGAGCATTAAGTCAGGCAGAGTCCAAATGGATCTTTATTTTAGACACAGATACACCAAAAGGGTTAAATATTGATTTTGATTTAAATTGTTTTATTAGTGATTATTAATTACTTTTGTGTCTTATATTTGGTATATTGTAGATTTTCCATTTGGATTAATCTTGAATGTTCTTTTTGGCATTTTATCTGTTAATATGATGGGTGACTGGCATATGTCTAGAGGTGGTTCCTTTATCTTCTCTTTTTATTTTTAATTTATTTATTTTTTCTTATAGATTGTGTTTTTTTTCTTGCGGCGCTTTTTGCATTCGTTTTTTATTTTTTTCACATTTTTGATTCATTTTTTATATATATATTTTTATATATATATATATATATATATATATATATATATATATATATATATATATATTTTATTCATTGATTTTTTTATTAAAATTAACATTTTTTGGGTCGTGTATTTATTTTTATTTTATTCAGTTATGTTGTTTTTCTTTTTATTTTTATAATGTTGGACATTTGGTTGGTAGTAGCTAACTCCTTACATCATTTGGAGTTTGTGGAATATGGGCTATTAACCAGGGCTTTTTGCTAAGGCATTTGCATGATCAAAGTGCTTGAAATGCAGCCCTGGGTATATATTTACATGCATTCAGCCTGTATTCCTTTAGTGGTAGCGACGGGCTACAATAATATGGCCGCCGTGACCCCGCCCAGTGGGTCACTATTGGAGGATATTCTGGCCTATTTAAGGAAGTGCAATAGACCAATCACGCTAGTCCTGAGGAAGTCACGAGGTCACGTGATGCAACGCGTCGACGGCAATACGTTCCGGCGTGGTGCCATCTTGGAACACCCTTCAGCCACATGCTTACACCCATGGTATGGGAACAAGCTGTATTTTCATCTTGCTGATGTAAGTGTGCATTTTACTCAGTTTTAAGCAAAATTAAAGCGGTTTTACACTAAGGAGGATGTCTTCTTCTTTTATCCTATTGGGATCTGAGTTGGGATCCATCCTGCTCATCTGACCATTAAGCATATTATAGGAGAGGTGGAATCAGTGTACTGGGGACATATTTTCAAGTCATCTACCCAAGAGGAAGGTTATCTTGATCCAGTGGTGATATTACATGCTCTGTGGCCTTGCAGGGTCGCAGATAGGAGGTGAGAGGCCATTTCAGCCGGTTTTGGATTGCACTTCGGGGTGTGTGGGACCATACACAGTCCATTGATTTTGCATGAGCGGAAGGAATGTGATACGGATCACTGGACTTTTTGATATGTGCACTGTGTGCAGGGGTTTCACATGTGTTTTAGATCTCACTTATCTAGTTCCATCACGCACTATTTTTCCTTTTTCCTTTTACATGTTAAGGAGTGTGTTACTTTGTTATACTGACCATGTGCTTAATATGATTCATTAACTGATTATATCACTATTTCTATGCTCAAAGCGGTATTTTTTTTGCATGTAAATATGTAATTTTTTTTATTGTAGGCCTGTAATTTTTAGGAATAACTCACTGAAATCTGTCGAACAAGAGTCTAGTAAACATTCCGGGTATGTTAAAATTTGAAACACGAAATCATAAATTATAATTTGATAAATTATCATAAAAAATAATAATATAATAATAATAAATTTAATTCAATAATATAATCAAACCAAAAACACTGAAATTTGAAATATAGTGCCAAGTTCGCACATCACTGAGCAAAGTCGCCAAATCGTTTTCAGTGTCTGATGACAAATTTTCCCACGAATCATTATCACTCAATTCTGCAAGTGGTTCTGATTTACTATCGCTGTTCTCTAGCTGGTCTAAAACCACTTTTGACCTAAAGGGATGCTTTTTGGATGCCATGGACGTTTCTCATTTTCCAGGCAGAAAGAACAGTAAAAATGCAGGCAGGGCACAGGACAAAGCACTAGGGACAAAATGTATGTGAAATGGTTTGATACAGTAATGTTTTACTATGTAATTTTAGTGTATTTAGGGAATGTCATTTTTTCACATTTTTAAATTTCCCGCTGTTCCGTCCCCGTAAGTGCTGACGTCGCAGGGAACGGAACCCAGAAGACGGAGGCCGGCATCGGCCGGAGGACATTGCCGGGGACACTGCAGGGGGGACATCACGGGAGCGCAGGACAAGGTAAGTGCAGAAGAGATCCCGGAGCAGCATTGCAGGGTATTCCCAAGTGTAGCTCGGGGTTACTGCTTGTGGTGCTGAAACTTTACCCCAAGCTACACTCGGGAATACCTCCAGGGAGGTTAATTTGCACGGGTTATCTCTCACTTCCTGTTTTGGCTATGGGACAGGAAGTGAAGGTAACTGTGCCCAATAGGACATAGATGGCAACAATAAACTGGTAGGGGTTATAACCCTCCCTTACTCTGTCCAAAATGAAAAAACAAGTTTTGTTTATAGTTCTACATTAATATTGGAGAAAAAGTATATTGTATAGTGTCACTTTAATTGTATTAATATTATATTATTATTATTATTATAGCTGAAACGTTATAGCATATACAAGGCAGGATACAAACATGTGCATGAGTATTACATGTAATAAAATTACTCTTACACTCTACTGTGGCAATATGTAGAAAAAAGTGACAACCACAGATCATGCGGATCATAAAAACATAGGGGTTGGTTTACTAAAGGCAAATAGACTGTGCACGTTGCAAATGCAGTTGCGCTCATTTTCCCCATACCATAAATATGGTAAAGCTCTACTGATTTCCATCATCCAACCATGTGCATGCAAAAATGTTTTTTTTTTTTTTCTTGCACCTGATTGGGTATTCTTTACAAATGAAGCTTTCCCACAAAAAAATTTGTTTAACTTCCCTTGCAAAGTGCACAGTCTATTTGCCATTAGTAAATCAACCCCATAGTCAGGTTTATTGTGACTAATGCCTCAATGGGGGGCAGCTCACCTTTCTCAAGGCGTCCCCTGCACATGTTTTGTGTATGCATGGCTCAAATGTCCCTTCAGACCTAGCAAAAGGATAAGTGTAGCAAGCAGAGTTCCTTGGCTTTGGCAAATCTAGGTAATGTATTTTAATAAAAATGATTGTTTTTGTTACTCAAAACACTGATTTAGTTCTGTCGATTTCCAAAAGATATGACTATTTTATAAAAATGATTGTTATATCGAAAAGTAATATTGTTATGTCTCTAAGTATAACCCTACAGGGAATTGCACCCTTTTAGTAAATCAGCCCCAGTGAGAGATTATGGCATTGTGTTCATGACAAAATATTACAATTTTATGTATACAGTTCTTTTCATTTCTTTGAATTCAATACTTAAGGCCTCATTCGCAAGAGCATACTACAGCGTATGTTGGTTGAGATGGCAGTGTTTGCCTGCATGGGGATGCACAGGTATTCCATGTGTCCCAATGCAGGCATTCCCGTTCATGTCAATTGAGACACAGCAGCTGCATGGACATTTTGACATCCATGCGCGTGCATGTCCCCAAATGTAGACAGCCTAAAGTGATGTCAAATTGGGAGCAACGGCTGTGTCTGTGCAGCTGCTGCATTCCAATTGACATGAATGAATTAACTGCAGGGGGAAACACGGAACAACAGTGCATCCCTGTGTTGGTAAACATGGCTTCCACATGGGCTCAGGCTGTAGTAACATGTCCCTCGGTCTTCCGATGTCTCCTTGTCATTTTGGTCTACTTAAAGTGATTGTAAAGACAGAAGGTTTTTATTATCATACTGCTTTCTATACAGTAAGGTAAAAAACTTTCTTCCTGTAGCTCGCCCGCAGTCCCCCTCGAGAAAAAAAACATACCTGAGCCTGATCTCAATCCAGCGATGTGCACAAGAGCAGCAGCACTCTCAGCTCTTTCACTCCTCATTGGCTCAGATACAGCAGCGGGAGCCATTGGCTCCCACTGCTGTCAGTCAAAGTCAGTGACGAAGAGTGGGGGGCGGACAGGGCCGAGCCCTGTTCTGTGTGTTTTATGGACACACAGAGCAGGGTTTGAGAGCAAGCTTGCATTAGTGCCTCCAGAGCAAGCAGCTTATTATAAGGGTGCTTGGTGGGGGGATGGAGCCAGGAGCACCAGTGGGGGACCCCGGAAGAGGAGGAGCGGGACTGCTCTGTGCAAAACCATAGCACAGAGTAGGTAAGTAGAACAGGTTTGCTATTTTAATTAAAAAAACAAGCTTTACAATCACATTACAGTGGATCTTCACTCAAAAAGTGAAGTACTGCTGGTTTGCTTCCTCTCCCTAACCCGTGAATTACAGTTTTTTTGGGGGGGAAGATGGTGAGTAAGGATTTTTATCAGCACCCACACCCACTTTCTGCAACTCTCACCTAGGCGAGGATGATACTGCTTGCCTTATCCCTTCCCCTCCTGCAATCTCCTGGGACAGATCACATGTCCCAGGAGGTTTCAGGACCCGCATGAGCTTGCACATAGTGTGGAGCCAGTAGTGGTTCCTCAGGAAATCACAGTCAGCTCTTATATCCAAGATGGTGGCACTGTGGATCCACAGTGGAAAGAAGAGCTGGCTGATTTTTAAAAGTTAGCAGCTAACAGTATTTGTATCTGCTGACTTAAAAAAATCGGGGTTTCTCTTTAACCACTTTCCTACCAGGCACTTTCATCCCCTTCCTGCCCAGGACAATTTTCAGATTTCAGCTCTGTCACACTTTGAATGACAATTGTGCGGTCATGCAACACTTTACCCAAATAAAATATTTAACTTTTTTTTGACACAAATAGAGCTTTCTTTTGGTGGTGTTTATTCACTACTGAGGTTTTTATTTTTTGCTAAACAAACAAAAAATACCAAAAATTTTGAAAAAAACAAGTTTTTTCTTAGTTTCTGTTAAAAAGTTTGTAAATAAGTGATTTTTCTAATTCACTGATGTGCACTGATGGGCTGCACTGATGGGCACTGTTAGGCTACACTGATGAGGAGGCACTGATGAGGAGGCACTGATGAGGCTGCACTGATATGTGGCACTGATGAGGCTGCACTGATGGTCACTGATAGGCGGCACTGATGGGCATTGATAGGCGGCACTGATGGTCACTGATAGGCAGCATTGATAGGTGGCACTGATGGGCATTGATAGGCGGCACTGATGGGCACTGATTGGTACTGATAGTCTGCACTGATAAGGAGGCACTGATGAGGCTACACTGATATGCGGCGCAGATGGGCACTAGTAGGAGGCACTGATAGGCATTGATAGCCATCACTGAGGAGGCACTGATAGCGAGTACTTATAGCCAGCACAGATGGGCACTGATAGCCAGCACAGGTGAGCATTGATGGGCACTGAAAACCAGCACAGATGGGCACTGAAAGCCAGCACAGATGGGCACTATTGGCCGCACTGATGGGGCTACACTGATCATCAGGGCACTGATGATCAGTGTAGATGTCCCCCTAAGAAATGCCACTTACCAGCTCTCCTCTCCTCACATGCTGTCAGCATGAGGAGAGGACTGCTGATACCCCGGCATTTCCTGTTTACATGTGATCAGCTGTGATTGCACACAGCTGGTCACATGTAAAAGGCAGCTCTGATTGACCCCTTACTTGGACATGTGATCAGCACAGGGTGGTGTGGTTCTGGGAGGACGTCCATGGACGCCCTCCCAGAACTAGCCGACCGCACTGTAGCCATCTTTTGGCTATAACGCGGTCAGGAAAAAGTTAAAGTAAATCTAAACCAAAGTGTATGTTGATTAGTTTGAATAAGCACTATGTTTCATAAACAATTGCCACTAAAAAAAACTGTTTTCAACCCTATTTGCACCCTTTTTTATGTCAGTGCTGTGGATATCTTTCAACCACTTCCTGTCTGTCTGCAATCACTCCTGCATCAGCTGCACATCATTTCTTAGGAATGGCTTCAAAAGAATGACAAAGGTGCATCTCTGCATAATGTGCGCCGCCATAACCACCTGTAGTCTGCATTAGATGCATGTGCGATAAGGTGACAATGTAGAAGCTCAGCTGGGAGACAGCTGTCACCGCATTACAGGAAATGCCTGAACAAGGATCTTCATGGTAAGAACAATAATATTATTTTTATACAAATTACAGATTAATAAGTTTTTAAAACTACATTTGAAATTACATTAAAGTTGTTCTAAAAGCTGAAGGTTTTTTTTACCTTAATGTATTCTCTGCATACACAAGTGCCCCCATAGCAAATGGCTTGCACTGGACATGGGGGAGGAGCCAGGAGTGTTGGTGGGGGACCTGAGAAGAGGAGGATCAGGCTTCTCTGTGCAAAACTATTGCACAGAGGAGGTAGGTATAACATGTTGGTTATTTCAATTTTAAAAAATCGAACGTTTACAACCACTTTAATCTGTTCAAGCTTTTAGGAGATTTTAGTGATTGGGCTTGGAAAATGTTTAAGTGCGTTTCATTAATAAAAACTATAAACAAATTGAAAAGCATTTGTTGATGAACTGATCTATAGACCATATTGTTCACCCTAAGAAGTTTATCTTCCAGCTCTTTCTTCTGTAGCAATAACTAAAGTACAATTACACACTGCTTTTGCCTTTTGTAACATGTTTGCAGCACTTCCTGTTGATGTGAGCAAACACGGTTTCCACAGACTTTAACCTATTTACAAATGAATAAACAAAACCAGTGCTCAAACCTTCATGCAGACTAGGATAACTGAAACTGTCATTAGTAGAGGTGCAGCCCTTAAAGATCGGGAAATCTTGATACTGGTGAACAAAAGCAAAACAGGGAGCACTCTCTTCTTGCATCAACGTAGTAAACCAAGAATTTATTATGAAGCATAAAAATGCATACTCACAAACCAAAGGGGGATAAAAATAGGCAAGAAGAGTCCATAATGACAGTGCGAAGTAACGATAGACCTTTAGTGAGGTAAGCTAACGCGTTTTGGGAGACAAACTTCCTTCATCATAGCTCATCATGGACTCTTCTTGTCTGTTTTTATCCCCCTTTGGTTTGTGAGTATGCAATTTTATGCTTCATAATAAATTCTTGGTTTACTATGTTAATGCCCTGTTTTGCTTTTGTTTAACCTATTTCCATTCTATTGTGTTTTTGACTGTTTTTATCCCAATTGCTGACCTCTAGACCATAACCTCCCAGTAATGCTCATCTTGTTATTCTAACTTGAGCACCAATGATACACACCACCTTGTGCCAAATTGCACATGTGGGCATATTTCATTGGGCAAAAAGAAAAGTACAATAAACAGTACGTGTCAGCAGCCATTCAAATGTCATAGAATCTAATAAATTATATCTAATTAAGTTATACTGAAATTTGATTGGTTACCACATCGTACATTTCATCATTGTTCCTAGTTAATATTGCACCTATAAAATCCCATTTTGGCCACCATAGCATGTTTAAAATGTACATTTACAGACCACTGCCATTCACAGGCACTAGCAATGCAGTACTACTAAATGGTGAGAGTTAGGAAACTCACTATTAGAAACTTTGTAGAATACTGTAAGTTCAGTTTTTGCCTCTATTCTGCTGCTGGGCCAGAAATGTGTAGCCAAGTGCTGGCTACTGCAAGATGAATCAAGAGAACATAATCCAACAGAACCATGGAGTACCTAGTTCCCTCCTAGTGCTCGGGACCCTGACTGTTACATTACTTCCTGTCAGGGGCGGACTGACAACTCATGGGGCCCTCGGGCAATAGGGGATCATGGGGCCCCTGTGTCCTTGCCCAAACTCAAAAAAGCCTATGAAAAAGGTACCAGGGGCATCTCATGGGGCCCCCTACTGACCCCGAGTTTCCAAATGGTCAATCCGCCCCTGCTTCCTGCATATAGAGCAAAATAGCCACTCGTCCTGGTTAGAGCAGAGATTCCTGGGACCTGTAGTTCCATAGTCAACTATCACTGTATTTTATAGCTTGTCCAGAACTACAAAATCCAGAAAGCTGATCCAGCAAAGGATGATGGGAGAGCTTATATATTTGACTGCTTCTGGTGGGCTTGCTCTCTTGGCCCGGATGTGTGTAGGCAGACAGGATGTGTGTAGGTAGCTATTCCGCACTCAGCCACAGCAGGACATAGCAGCCTAGTCAGGGAAAGTAACGCTCGTCCAGTGCATCTGCATAGCTGTGTCACAGATCACCAGGCTGGGTGTCCGTAGCCGCTCACTGTCATCCAGCACACACACACACACTTGTACACACACACAGGCACATGTATAAAGCATTATGAAAAGTTACAGTACCTTAACTTCCATTACACAGCCAGATACTGCACTCTAGAGGGAAGCAGAGAGCACAGAAGACATTCCCCTTCCCTTTGCTTTCACTTTGCTGAGCGGTCTTACGGCTCCCAGTGCCGGCGTACAGTGCGGTTGGGGATCGGGAGCCTGGGCTCAAGTGACAGCCATTCTCCCCACGGCACTCCTGAAGATTTCTTGTGGCACCCTGGTTGAGAAAGGCTGTCTTAGGTGACTTATAGGAGAACTTCTGACCTTTAGGGTAGGACTTTTTACACTCTTTTTTCGGCAACTAGCTCTTTGTATATATGGTGGAATGTGTGTCATGTTTCACATGACTGTCATATTGACTCTCATATGCCTTTAAATGTTTTCTGTGTTTTGTCTCTGCTCCTCCCTTTCCTTTGGTTTGGTTAGTGTTGCATGGATAGCCCTCCCTCTTTTCCCAGAAATGCATTGCAGCTAGCCTCATGGCATGGAGCAAGAAACAGTATGTTCTTTTGACCTATGGAATTTCATTGTTGTAAGATTCTCCCAGTTTATGGAATAAACTTCACAAGATCTACAAGATGTCATTCTCATTGAGTCACTGACTGTGGTATCGAACTGAGGTTGAAGTTATCGCTATCTCATCACAACTGTAAGCTACAGAGATTACTCTATCAATGCTTAGATTGGAGAGACAGAACATTGTGCCTTGCTGTTTTAATGGCTTGTGTTGACTTTGATCCCTTTAATTCTTTATGCCTTGTCAAATATACATTATTAAGGTATTTTATATAGACATACATTTTGTAATTATTTTTGTGCACATTTATCCTCTAGGTAATTTTTGCACCCTTGAAGTTCTCCTAACCACAGTGAAGTTCTACATACAAACATGCTAAGTCTGTCACACATCAAGGTTATGACTTTCCTCCTCAATATTTTGTCTTGGCATTGATGTATATATGCCGGTGCATTTCTGAATATAGGAAGATTGTAAAGGCTAAACTTCATTTATCTTGTAGGATTGGTATCTGTGGTGCCCAGTGGTTGCTATATACAGTGCCTTGAAAAAGTATTTATACCAATTGAAATTGTCCACATTTTGTCATGTTACAACCAAAAACGTAAATGTATTTTATTGGGATTTTATGTGATAGACCAACAAGAAGTGGCACATAATTGTGAAGTGGAAGGAAAATGATAAATAGTTTCCAGTATTTTTTACAGATAAATATCTGAAAAGTGTGGTGTGCAAAGTCAGTACTTTGTAGAACCACCTTTCACTGCAATTACAGCTGCAAGTCTTTTTGAATATGTTTCTATCAGCTTTGCACATCTAGAGAGTGAAATGTTTTCCCATTCTTCTTTGCAAAATAGCTCAAGCTCTGTCACATTGGATGGAGACCATCTGTGAACAGCAATTCAAGTCTTGCCACAGATTCTCAATTGGATTTAGGTCTGGACTTTGGGCCATTCTAACACATGAATTTGCTTTGATCTAAACCATCCCATTGTAGCTCTGGCTGTATGTTTAGGGTCGTTATCCTGCTGGAAGGTGAACCTCTGCCCCAGTCTCAAGTCTTTTGCAGACTCTAACAGGTTTTCTTCTAAGATTGCCCTGTATTTGGCTCCATCCATCTTCCCAACAACTCTGACCAGCTTCCCTGTCCCTGCTATAGAAAAGCATCCCCACAACATCATGCTGCCACCACCATGTTTCACGGTGGGGATGGTGTGTTAAGGGTGATGTGCACAGTTAGTTTTCTGCCACACATAGAGTTTTGCTTTTAGGCCAAAAAGTTCAATTTTGGTCTCATCTGATCATAGCACCTTCTTCCACATGTTTTCTATGTCCCCCACATGGCTTTTCACAAACTGCAAATGGAACATCTTATGGCTTTCTTTCAACAAAGGCTTTCTTGTTGCCATTCTTCCATAAAGGCCAGATTTGTGGAGTGCACAACTAATAGTTATCCTGTGGACAGAATCTCCCACCTGAGCTGTGGATCTCTGCAGCTCCTTCAGAGTTACCATGGGCCTCTTGGCTGTTTCTTTGATTAATGCTCTCCTTGCCCGGCTTGCCAGTTTACGTGGACGACCATGTCTTTGTAGGTTTACAGTTGTGCCATGCTCTTTCCATTTTCAGATGATGGATTGAACAGTGCTCCATGAGGTGTTCAAAGCTTGGGAAATTTTTTTATAACTTAACCCTCCTTTAAACTTCTCCACAACTTTATCCCTGACCTGTATGTGTTCCTTCATGATGCTGTTTGTTCACTAATGTTCTCTAACAAACCTCTGAGGGCTTCACAGAACAGTTGTATT